TGTATATTGTACCTTCTCATGTGTCTTTTTAAGCATTCAAACACATTCTTACTGTAAGTAAAATTTGCCTTATTTAATGGTTTTTAGATGTCCGAATAGAACTGCCCAGTTCCTTCTCTATCGAGTCCTCATGTCTCAGTTATTTACATACAGTGTCTATATAGACATACGTATACGATAGTAACGGTCCCAACCAATTTGGATGAGGAACGTTTATGTTCCGCTGTATATACGTGCGTATACGTACCGCTAATAATCTAGAAATGGCCATTCCAGTCTTTCTAGATGCTGAGCGGCTGCTACTTGGGCTCAAAGGTGAGCTGCAGGGCCCACCGGAACGAGTGAGTTCCGTAACCGATCGGCGAACGCCTACCTACCATTGTGTATATTCCCGATCGAAGCCAACGAGGATAAGAGCCCGTAGCGCTGTATTTAGAGCGTGTGACTTCCAGGCTCACAGGTTCGAGCCTCGGAGGGTCGCCACTCCCGGGGTTGACTATGGCTGGCTGGTGATGGCTGGTAAGCCAGAGATAGCCATTCCAGTCTTCCTTGCCTCTGTCGGTAATGTATTTATAGGAGTGTTCACCGATCGTGTTAGGGACCATACTCATCCCATTTGGATCTGGGGCTCATTCTCGAAGCCTACTGTTTGGCGGCTGATACGCTTTAGGCAAAAAGTATTAGCGACAAACATAAGGGAGACTAGAATGATTATTTCTGACATAAAAGCCGCCATCTGTCAGCCGGTAGTTCACCCAGTGGGCTACAGGATATGCTCCTCCAGTGAGTCCTTGAGTTAAGTTCACTGCCCTAATTGGCTGTCTACTATCATGTAATCATTATGTAAAATGAACACCGATCATAAAAGAGAGTGACCTGACCCTTTTACATTGATTAGCTGTGGTGAGACATCTGACCTAAACATAGGTTTAGCTGGCATGGTACTCGAACCCACAGTCTCTGACACGTAAGAAGTACAGTTTAACTTATTTCCTCTGACTTTAGGATGTCCCAGTAGAACTACCTAGTTTCTTCTCCATCAGTTCCTCTTACGTCTTACAATGTCTATACATTATGATAGATAGGCGCTCAGCAATCGGCTACAGAGCCCACTCATCCCGCTGTGCCTTGGAGTTCACTCTTTTGCCCTGCTAGCAGCCAACCAACGGCTATCATAGATTGTAGACATAAAATGCATTATCGAACTATACGAGGGAGACTGGAATGGCCATTTGTGGCCTATTCGCCAGCTATACTCAACCCCAGGAGTGGCAAACCCTGAGGCTCGAACCCGTAACCCTGGTTGTTAGTTAG